TGCTGGCGATTGAAGATGGAATCTTCGAAGTCAAGGCTGTGGCAGGGGACGCCTGCCTCGGTGGTGAGGATTTTGATGACGTTTTGTTCGACCACTTTGCGGCCGAGTTTGCGCGCCAATACCGGAAAGACATGACAACGTGCGATCGCGCAGTGCGTCGCCTTCGCACGGCGTGCGAAAAGGCCAAACGCGACCTCTCCATTTCCAACACGGCGACGCTCGAGCTTGAGGTGCTCTTTGGCAACGTCGACTTCCGTTCGAGCATCACCCGCGCGCGATTCGAAGACTTGTGCTCTGGGCTCTTTCGCAAAGTGACGCAGCCCATCGAGAAGGTCCTTCGCGACGCCAAGATCGACAAAAGTCAAGTGCGCGATGTGGTGCTCGCTGGTGGCTCGATGCGCATGCCCAAAATGCAACAATTGCTCTCATCATTTTTCGGCGAACGCTACGCAGACAAGAAGCTCTGCCACTCGATCCTCAACAACAACGAAGCTGCCGCTCATGGCGCTACGGTCATGGCAGCGTTGAACGACGATACGTCGCCTGATGTCTGGCACCTTCTCGTCCTCCACGTCGTGCCCTACTCTGTCGGGATTGAAACCGGCGGTGGTGTCATGACAACAGTGATCTCGCGCAACACGACCATACCATCCAAAAAGTCCGAGGAGTTTAAAATTTCCCAGCCACAGAGTCCGCCGTACCACCCGACGTCATTCAGCTATCGTGACGAATGCACCTGCGACGACTCGGACGACTCGAACGACGAATGCACTTGCAATGACTCGGACGACTTGGATGACAACTGCTGCTGCACTCACTATTGCGAAGAGCACTGTAAGGAGTATTGCGGCAGTGAATGCGACCACGGCGGCCACAACGACATTGACTTCCCTTCCTACCCGCGCTACGGGCCGAAAGAGCCATTCATTGACGCCAGAGACAACGCGATCAAGATCTTTACGGGTGAGCGATCCATGGTACGCGACAACACGCCTCTCCACACGATTGCAATCCACGGCTTTTACGATCCGACAGCGAGAAGCGACGTCACGTTCGACATCGATGGGAACGGTCTTTTGACCGCCATCGTCACGTACACACCACATATCGGAACAAACGAAACGATCGTCGTCAAGCTGGACAAGGGATACCTCTCGCAGCACGACGTCAAGCGGTTGACGACAAACTTTGAGGCTGCTGCAGACGACCGTACTCGCCGCCGAGTAGCCCACGAGCAGCTTCAGATGTACTTGATCGGAGGCAATTACCCGTACTGGCGGGCTGCGGACGCTGTTGAGGTGCTCGAGTGGCTCGATACCATTTCTCTCGGCCGTCACATCAAGGCCAGTGTACGCGAGATCGAAGCCAAGTATCGGATCTTCTTGGGTCCTGCAATCGAAGACGTCGACTAAATTCCTCCGATCCGGCGTGTTGCACTTCAAGGTCCAAGTGCGCTGAAAGTCGACCGAGTGTGTGAAACGTTAAAAAACATTTAATTAGTCTATCATCAACTGTTTTGGCAAATGTGTTGACGCATCGCTACAGCTCAAACGTATCCTTGCGTTTGTGTTAGCTTCGTGTGAGCATTGCCATCTGTGGAGTCAAAGTCAAGTACTAGTCGTTATCGTCCGGTAAAACTTGCAGATTCTACGGAATTCCAATACTTTCGGCAGGGTTCCTGTGCGACAGCTCTCGTCAAAATCGCATCTACATGGTGCAAATGGCTATTGAGCTTCACATTGACTCTAATGCTTCGCTACAACGAGATGCCAGTCGAATGCAGCGTCAACTCGCAGCTCGGCCATACGTCGCGCTGGCACCACTCGATGGTGACGCCCCGTTTTTGCGAACGTCTGAAGCTCCTCGTGGGCTACTCGGCGACGGGTTCGGTCGTCTGCAGCAGCCTCAAAGTTTGTCGTCAACCGCTTGACGTCGTGCTGCGAGAGGTATCCCTTGTCCAGCTTGACGACGATCGTTTCGTTTGTTCCGATATGTGGTGTGTACGTGACGATGGCGGCCAAAAGACCGTTCCCATCGATGTCGAACGTGACGTCGCTTCTCGCTGTCGGGTTGTAAGGATGAGTTTTTTGGGAGACGGGGTACAGCTAATCAGAAGCCAGGAAAAGTCGAAAAAAAACAATCGTCGCGTCTCGCGTCCAACTTTGCGAGTCGACCTCCGTGAGGTAGACTCCGGTCCGTCTCGCCAACACCTCGATTTATGGCCGATTATTGGGTAAAATAGAGGATGGCAATAGCCAATGAAAATCGATTGACTGCTGTTGGTTCCGCGCTATTGATTGCGCCGTCATTGGAGCAATGAACAACGACGCGTGCATCGCGGCCGCTGTGCCGCCGTCGCCGTCACGGTCGCCCTCTCGGACCTCGACGGGCGCAGTTTCCGCGCGCCATCTACCAAGCGCTACACTGTTCCGAGCGTCACATGGTCTACCGTCAAGAACGACTCGTCCTTCGACGCGTGGTTCGTCCGCCATCGCTGGTGCACGCGCTTCGTCTTCGAATGCATTTGCATGAACATTGAGTCCGCCTGGGAGTTTGTACATCAACCTCTCCACCACAGCAAAACGATAGGTATCGACAACCGCATCGCTATCATGCTTCACTACCTCACGCACACGCACTCCGACGGCTACGAGTCGACGGCCGTGCTCTTTGGTATCTCCAAGACACGGGCCTACGACCAAATCTATGCTGTCATCGCGCTACTCGTCTCTCACACCATCGCATTGTCGTCCACGCATGACGGGTGGGAAGAAGTTCGTCAAGGATTCGAGGTACGGGTTTCCCAACGCATACGGCGAAATCGACGGTCGCTCGCCATTTGCTCGCCAAGCACGCCGAGCTGCGAGGCGGACTTGTTGCGCTTGTACAGTTCCGAAAACCTATGGTTCGGGCTGAAGCGCAGTTCGAGCAAGCGCTTGACGTGCTCCAACGTGACTCAAGTGGACTCTTTTGGCCCGCGGGCTCGACGTTCGTGGCGTCGTCGCCGCGGCATTGCAGCAATGGCAGCGATGGCAATGCGTGGTCCACCCAAAGCATGCCTGTTCGTTGGCCGAAATTGCAAACAAAAGCGACCAATCACACCCCGGGCTGATTTAGCTGGTCGCTCGAAAAATAATGAAAAATCGTTCCGAGTAAAATTTACTCGGAACGATTTTTCATTTTTCGGGCACTTGACGTTCATCTCGATCACGAGGTTCGTTTGAGCGCGAAGGTATACGGAGAATTGGTACGCAAACTTAAGCCACGCGCCGTCGTCGATGGCCTCGGAGCTCGACTTGGCGACAATGTCCATCTGATGAGGCGCGCACCATACGCGCAACACGTCGTGTTCAGCAGCACGCACTAGCTGCGTGACGAAACCACGGTGTCGGCCAGTCATTGTGTTCTCGCCATCGCTCGAGACGCCGATGAGCTTGGAACGCCAGTTCGAATAGACCGCGTCCATCAAGGTGACAACCAGGTTGAAAATGTTGTCGGCCGTGTGTCGATTGAACATGGGCAACGAGATGCAGGTTCAAAAGCCGACAGCCAGAGCCGAGTCGCACGCGAACATCGAGGAACGACTGCCCACGATGTGTGCTGCTGTCACAAGCGAGTGAGAAAGCCCAGCAATTGTCGTTGTTACTCAAAAGGAGGCCGATGAATTGGAGCCCGATGGCGACCTGGACGCGTACGTATTGTCCGACAATCGTGGTATTTGCGCCGGCCAATTTTGCAACTCCAGTGCGGTACTTGGTGGAGATAAAAGCCTCGGCTGCCTGCCGGAACGATAGACCAGAGCTGACGAGATCGATGATCAAGTCGAAGCGCATGATGTTCTTGATCGTCACCTTGTACAGCGCACCACCGTCCTCGTCCTCGGTTATCTGGAACAGCGACATGACCTTGGTCTTCTGCTTGGCGAGTTGAGAGGATCTTTTGGATGCGGCGGCCGCAGCGTCGTCGCCGTCATTCGACAAGGTCGGATGGAAAGAAGAGCTCGCCAATGACGTTCTCGACGATGCTCGCCTTGATCGTGTACACGATTGTGTCGGTCGTGGAATCGAAGAATTTTTGCAGCGTGTCCTCGTTGCTGACCTTGCCCTTGAAGTAGACCATCTTGTCCTCGATCGACAAGCTCTGGTACACTTCCCAAGACGCCTGGTGCTGCTTGTGATGACTGACGTAGTTCTGGGATCTGAACGGCTTCTTGAAATGATGAACACTGTTGCGCTCCTTGCGTTTGCGGGTCGATGCGGCAGTGATCTCGACCTTGTCACGTCCTTCGTAAACGCAGAACATGCACTGCACGCTCTGATCGCCATCGGCCGTGGACGAGACGAGCTTCAATCCATACTTCAGGGCGTGCTCCTGCTTGAAGGCGGGTAGTTCTGCCATCGTGCCCTTCTTCTTGGTCTTTTTACAGTTAGGCGGCGCCATGGCGTGAACGAGTGTGCGAGTGGAGGCGGAGGAGTAAAACCGTTTGAAAAAACGAGCTTAATTTAGGCTCACCGGAAATCTTAATGTAGTCCTTTTCCATATCAAATCATCAAAATGACGAAATTTATCAGGAGTAAATCGACCCCGTCTCCGTCTCGTCTCCCGATTTTACTCGGAACTCATCCTAAGAGCCGGGGAGTGCAATTGTGCGAAGATGCGTGTTGTCGCGTGTCATGGTTCGCTCACCCGTAAGATCTCGATCGCGTTGTGTGTGGCGTCAATGAACGGCCTTTTCGGCTCGTTGACCGGTTTGGAATCATTGTTGTCACCGCGGGCATGGTCGCCGCCACACTACTCCTTGCAGTGCTTTTCGCAATAGCAACTGCAGCAGCAGTCACCGTTCCAGTCGTTGTAGGTGCATTCGTCGGACGACTCGGACTTCTTGGTTGGTATGGTGGTGTTGCGTATGTCGACCTCGAAGACGTCTTTGTGCCTTGTCCTAGGATTTCGCACGCGATGCTACGCACCTTGCACATCGAAGCCGTCAGCCTGTGCGATGCGAGTGTGGCTTGACTTTGCCACGCGGTCGGCGCAGCTCGAGTCGGTCGCATGGAACAGCTGCGAGTACTTCGGTGAACACAAGAAGTGCGCTCCACAGGTCCTTCGCGCCTGCATTCTCGCGGGTGTCCCCAGCGTCCGGTTTAAAGACTGCGAGATCAACACCCGCAGCGTCTCCGCGTTGGCCAAGAGCTTGCACAAGACCCATGCCCGTGGTGGCTTCCAGCTCGACCTCTCCAACAATCCGTTTCGCCTCAGTGGCG